CGTCGAAAAACAGCAGTTTACTTGGTGACCCCCATAGAAAATTTTTCGTCTTCGGGGATTCGTGCTGAGTGAGGGTTAACCCATTTTCAAATTACGTCTTCTTCTTTATCTGTCGTGCTTCCCAACTATTCAACCAGCATAAAAAAAGCAGACCCAAATCTCCAAAAGCTGTGCATTAAAAATATTTTTGTTCAAAAATTTCAACTCTATTGGGAATACAATCAGTAGCGAACGAGGGTTGATTATGTGATCAAAAAGGCAAAACTGCCACCAAAGTTTATGAAGCACATATCAAAAATTATACGGAAGCTTTGTGTTAAAAAAGGCCATACAAGTTATTCATCATTTGGTGAATACATTTCAAAATTTATATTATACATACATACATATGTACATTTGCATTTGCAACCTTAACTTAAGCGAATGGCATTAGTTTTGTCGAACAATTGCATTCAATCACAGGTGTTGGGGGGTCAAACTTGATCAAACGAAGAGATTAAATAATTTTGAATACTTTTGAAGCACTTTTAAGGGTTGTGGGCGGGTAAGCATAAACACAAAAAGATACTTTATTCATATACATATGTATGTACAATGTACGTTGTGTGTACAAGCATAACACAATTTCGAATAAAAACGACTTGCGTTGAGCCTGATGATTACCTACTTTGTTAAAAATGTAAAGAAAATTACTCAAAGCACAGCTTATGGCACCCAAAAATCCCCAAAGACCACTCTAATACAGTGAGAGGTTTTGTAATGGTATTAAAAAGGTTTTCTCTAAATATGCCTAAAGCCCTTCAATATAAATAAGAGTATGTAAAAATAAATTTATATAGTTTTTACGGGACTGCCAAATATTAAGAAATAAAGCGTCACCCTACAAAGTTCACAGGTGTACGGTTTTTGTCTTAGGTCTTTACAAAAAGGAAACGCATGCACAAGGTTGCAAACTCACAGGGTGCACTTGATGATTAATTTATTTTTTGTCATTCCGTTATTCGAAAAAAAAATTTTGGTGATGCATTTCCGAACGTTCTTTTTTGCAGTACGCAAACATTTTTATGATGCATTTCCGAACGTTTCTTTAGGATTCTTTTAATCAAATCAGATTGATTCATTAATTAGATTTTAATCAAATTTTTAAAGAAATCAGTGTATAGAATTAACAATATCAATCTCGCCGTCAAGTTTAAATAGCGGCAAATCAGCTGCACTTGATAGTAGTAGATTGAATAAGGAAGCGTATTTTTGAGTTATAGCATTAAGGTTCTGGGTATGCTCGTGAACGATTTTTCTGCGCTAGTGGCGCTTAATTAATAACTTCCAAAGTAATTAGATATCTTGAATCGGTTTTTTTACAATCCAGAAAAATCAAAGAATCAAAAAAAAATTATAAAAATAAAAATATTTAAAATTTTACATTAATTTATTTCAATTAATTTTTTTTTTTCAAACAACAGAGTGTATTAGTTTAAAATTTCTTTAAAAAAAATTACAACAAATACATATTTACAAAAGTAAAAATAATAATCTGACAACTCAGTTTCCAGATTCTTCAAAACATCCTCGTTGTTACCTTTTGCAGAGGCAATCGCAGTATTTTTGCAGCCCTCATTGTCATATTCCATATGGCTTAAGAGCGAAATACACCACACAAGCGGTTTGACAAACCAAGCGAAATTTCCCTTTGCTTCAAGCCATTTGTGCTGTGTATGGGGGTGTTTGAAGGTTTGACGGCGGTTTGTTTGTGGTGTATTTCGCTCTTTAGTATGACCTACATATCGTCGCCTCAGAAAACGGATGTCGAATGTGCAAAATCACGATTTTGGGATTTTGATGCAGATTTACTAACTTGGACACGCTCTTTTGATTTCTTCAATCCATTTTTTTATATCTCCCTTAGTTTTTGAGATATATCGAGTGCATTTTGTCGTATGTTGCGTAATATCAACATCTGGGTGTGCTTTTTGTTGTATGTGTTGAAAATATGTCACATACAACAAACGCCCATACAAATCTACTTTTTTTTTGTCAGAAAACCTTTGTGGTATGTGTCACGAAATACCGAACTTACGACAATTGTATGCAGGAAAACTGTAAACAATTGTTGCATGTGTGCATAGCTTAAGCACTGCAATGCATGAAATTTCTTCAGTCAGCTGGTTATCGTTGTGAGAGCAAGATGGGAGATTCATCGCCTGCGCCAAGTTTAGACGTAACCTTGAAAGGGTAAATACTATAAAAACTTTTGTTTTGTTTATAAAAACTGTTTTCTAATA